TGTGTGTGTGTGTGTGTGTGTGTGTGTGTGTGTGTGTTTGTGTTCATATGTGTGTTTGTGTTTGTCTGTTAGCTTGTAGTTTGGCTGCTGCAAACTTTTTTCACTCTGGCGCTTTGAGTTGGTTCAAGTGAAGTTGCGCTTTCCAATCAATAATTATTTTTGTTAACGAAAAAATATAAATACCCCTTTTAATATATAAGGTGTATTTTTCAACCAATCGCTGGCACAAATTGTTTTGTATGACGGCCGAGAAGGTGGATATGGATGAAGGATCTCGTAAATCAGAGTTTTCACTTGTACAGAGAGATCAATCTTTGGGAATCTGTAACAGTTGTGCAGATAGACTCCAACTAAGTTTTTATGATACAGGGCAGCGACACCTACCGTAATCTATGTGCAAGCTGTCTTTCAACCATTTTTTGCGGATTTCGGTCGTCATAGGGCATTACTCCCGTAACCATAACATATAGAACGACACCAGCGCTCCAAATATCGACCTGAAGGAATACGTATCACGCTGTGAAATGCTACGGTGATTTTGTTATAAAGGATAAAGAAGAACTGGGAGTTGATCAGTCTCTAAGAAAACCACCGTGCATCTAACTTCATCAAGCATCGTAGAGATAATTGAATGCATTAATCTGGCTTGTACGCCGATTTCGGAGGAACAAAGGACTTCGTGATACCGAAGCGCAGAATCGAACCAGCTACGGATCCAGTGTGTTTTACCGGACATTCTCTAACCCCTTTGCTCCTCATTGTTAGTACTACTCATAGCAGATACAATTAGTGCAACAAAACACATTTAAAGGAAGTGGGAAATAAATAGACTGGTATTCTAACCGGTCCTCCATCATCGAGAACCTCGTTTTGATTCACGTGGATAGTGGTTCATATCAACTCTGTGCGTATTCAAGTTTTGTCTTCTTTCGTGTTCAACGCTTCGAGTACATTGAGTCATGCAATCGTGTTCTCCTACCGTCTGTCCAGTGTAGGCTATAGCTCTGAGAATCTCTGGAGCGACGTAGGCTCGACTTCCACAGAACGTGTTCGCCTTCTCGTTCGGCTTCAGGTAGCGTGCAAAGCCAAAATCACCCAGCTTCACGTTCTCATACAAATCAAGGAACACATTTTCACACTTCAAATCTCGGTGCACTATGTCGCATCGTTGGAGATACTGAAACACACTAGCATTATTACCAACCACTAACAGAAACACTGAACGGCACCGAGCTCTGCTAATTCGGCTCCATTTTATTTAACTCATGTCCTGCGTAAGAAGGTGAACAGACGAATAGGTAATAACCACTCAAAACATGCGCATTGATTGCTGCAAAGCTATTGTAATGACGTTTTGATATCAATATTTACCACTGTGAAAAAACTCTAAATTTCCGCTTATGTCTTATTTTGAAATTACTATTCTCTTCCCGTCGAATCTTTTGAACGCCTTATTGGCAGTTGGGTGTTATTCCTTTCCACAAATTTTGCATATCTATCTTTGGATGATCGGAAGAGGATTTCTGTTTGATGGAATCTCGGGAGGGAAAGCTTAATTTCTTCGAAGTCGCATAGCAAACATTCTGTAAGTTTCTCGAAAAAACCTACCATAAGTGCTTCTATGAGCTGTCGAAAAATTAATTTGGCCTCATATTCTGGAACCCTTTTTGATTTTTTGATTTTCTGAAGTAAATCACCACCGTCGCAGTATTCTGTTATGAATATAGCGTAGTGGCCAATTTCAAAGACCTGAAAGACATCTTTTAAGTCAATTAGTCGATGACACAGAGAAGCTTTCAGAGGTAGTAGGTAGTTTCTATCGTGATATCATTTGCCACGAACAGCAAAGTAGCCAGTAAGGAAGTACACATGTTTATCTCGGTGGAGATTATTGCAGTCTTAAACCACCTAGACATCGTAGTGATCCAAATGGCTTGTAAAGTATACACAGTTAAGAAGGGAAAACTAAGATAGCTTACGTCTAATCCTTTTTGTTTCTTTAATCACTTTTGAGTACAAAAGGGATGAAACGTTAGAAATTTGCCAATCTCGTAGATACATGCCGCGTATCCAGCTACGTTAAGTTTCATGGAGGTAGCTAAGTGCATATTTGTCCTAAGCAACGCTTTGAGACCAACTGATATATTACATAAGCAGTATTCTTCCGAAGAATCCTGTTACAACTTTCAGATCTTGGAATGACAAGATTATCTCCTACCACAGCCGTTTAGCGTAGCCGCATCCGATCACGAACACCATAGCTCAGTGGTCCAGAACTTTAAACGATGAAATGGTGTCGTAAAACATTACCTGGTAAACCCGGAGTACACATTCATGGTTTAAATTCCTAACCAATGCCATTTCTCGTGGTAGAAATCTTCGTACATATTCAGACTGCACTCTAAAATCAAGAGATTGTCTTCCTCAACACAATAGCGAGTGTGTGCTGCTTCTGCCAGTGCAACAGCGATTATTGGGGTTGATGGAAAGGAGTGACTTAACAGATTATATCAGTAATAGTGATCGTAGTAATTGTATAAACACGTTTAGACCCAATGTCGAGCACTTTAAAGATTAAGGACGCGTGATGCAAGCACCAATGAAGAAGTTCCATCACGATTTTTTATAAAACCAAAGCTTTTTGTTCTAGGTTCGGATATTTGACAATCTGAGATTGAAAGCGGAGAAAATCAGGAGACTTTGCATCTTATCTTCCTCAGAATTCCTAGTAGATTTCGTCTGGTCAAATATTCTTAGGTTCGACCAATGCTTAACAAATGTTCCTAGTTGCGGATGAGCATAATTTCGCTGTTGTTTTCACTACGTTCACTTCCACCAATTCTTTATCGCTTCACCGTGACTGAGATGTATTGCTTCGTATCGGACTGCGATGGGCAGCCCGAACTCATCTCCCCAGAACGTGAGGAATTCAAAGTTTGCATCCTCATGCGAGTCGAATGGAAGACTTTCTATAGTAAAATATCGGTACCATATCTTTATTATGCAGAATCATCAGGTCTCATTGTTCTTCTTTGCGTTGGTGCCTTAGAAATTGCAAACCCTCTACAATAATGCGCTTACTCGGACAGCAATCAACTATTGACTATTTTTTGTCGATTTTTCTGGAAGCGGCTGGAAATGATTCCAAATACACAGAACTCTCACCTGGTATCGATAATTTTAACGGCAATACTTAGCTTATTGTCTGATAGTCCTTTCATCACCTGAGAGTACGAACCTTTTCCTTAAATAACTACAAGTCATGCAATGAAATTGATAATGATGAGAATTAATAGAGATTTTTCATAATCTAATGTTTTTTAAAATAAAAGGATAAAATGACAAAGCCATCTTCGTTGATCAATCCCTGAGAGATGCCCCACGCCTTCGACTTCATTAAGTATCGTTGGAGGTGACTGAATACATATCTGGCCTTTACAGTGACCCGCGGTGGCCTACCTACCGATGTATCGAGGCAGTGCTGGCCGACCCCGTAGGAATGGAAGACTTAGTGGGTCATGGGCGCGGTGATCGATTCCACGTGTTCGTCGCAGTGGCGCCCCAAACCACTGCGCCACACGCGCCCATGTTTTCTAAATACTCATAAAAAATGTCGATCATTGTAGTTCACCGGCAAGGGTTATGTTCGTGAATTGGCTGTAATGATTGTTAAAGAAGGTAGATTCGAAACTTAAAATGAGAAACACAATCTCCAGCTGTCTTTTACTGTTTGTTTCTTTCATTTTATTTTTGGTAGGATATGCTGGTTTGTTCCAAAATAGCAAATTGTTTCTACTTCTGTTCTACAAACGCGAGGTGTTATTGTTTTTCTTTATTTACGCACAAGCTGACGTTTCTGCGGATTTACGCTTACTCAGAGCCTGGAAAGGTCAAGTTGACAGCAACCTATTCGGCCAAAAACCTCCATAACCAAACAGAGAAAACGCTAAACCAAGAATTCAATCACATTTAACACAGCTTTGCACACTCACCGCTCCCTATGAGGTTTCCACTAAGTATTTCGCGTGGAGACCAACCGCAGGTAATTCACATGGAAGTGTAATGTGCCCCTCCCATCAGAATAACAGGTTTATCTACTGTCCAATATCACGAGTGGTAATGAGCCATTCTTCCCTGCGGTTCATCTTCGGATTTCTAGAATTAATCCAGAACACCACGAGAGTTTTGCCTGCTTGTGTTCTCGATTCCTGTGCGAGGATCATGACACGTACTTCAAAGCACTCTCCGTTGTCTCTGGGTCCTATGCGTGCCTAGCGGGGTATTTGTTTTATGTTTACCGGCTAGGTGTTCTTTTATGCAGACACAGAGGGGTTTGCCCGTTTCACCAATGTATTCGTCTCCGCACGCCTTACAGGAGATCAGGTAAACTGTACCCGAATTTATGCAATCACCGTCCCTATCATAAGAAAAATTATGCAATTTTGCGTTGCACATAGACGGCCATATAGGCGGTTACTAACTAGATGGCGTTTAAGAGTACTCGGTGGCATTTCAACTACGTTAACCGAATTCTTTAGACCCGCACTTCTTAAGCAGCGTTTTAATGCTGCACTTACACCATTTGAGATGAACGGTAGGATAAGCGAGACCTTTTTATAGCTAGAGTTGTTGTTTGGCGGCCTCCGATTTCCCCTACACCTATTCCGAGCTACGGTTTCGTAGCCATTAATAATGGCTATTTGCCGCGCCAAGTTTCGGAACTCCTCTTTCTGCTCTCTTCCTGTGTACACTTTGGTTGCTGTTCGAAACATGTTTCTTGCTCCCTGGTACCGAAAGCGAAGTAGTAAAACATCTTGGTTCATTACCTCTCTTCTCACCCTTCACACACAAAAAGGGCTCTTGCAAGAAATATGTTTAGAACAGCAACTAACGTGTGCACCGGAAGAGAGCAGAGAGAGGACTCCCGGAACTTGGCGCGGCAAATAGTCTCCAATGGCTACGAAACTAGCTCGGGATAGGTCCAGAGAAAATCCTAAAACCTCCAAACGACAATTCTAGCGATAAAAATGTTCCGTTTAGCCTGCCCATTATCTCAAATGATGTAAGTGCAGCTATAAAACGCTGCTTAAGAAGGGCGGGTCTAGGAAATTCGGGAAACGTAGTTGAAATGCCACCGAGTAATCTTAGGCGCCAGCTAGTTCGTAACCGCCTATATGACCGTCTATGTGCAACGCAAAATTGTATAACTTGCCCTAATGATAGGGACGCTGATTGCATGAGTTCGGGTACAGTTTATCTGGTCTCCTGTAAGACGTGCGGTGACGAATACATTGGCGAAACGGGCAGATCTCTCTGTGTCCGCATAAAAGAACACCTAGTCGGCAAATGTTAACCAAATACCCCACTAGGCACGCATAGGACCCAGAGACATAACGGAGAGGACTTTGAAGTACGTGTCACGATCCTCGCACAGGAATCGAGAACACAAGCGGGCAAAGCTCTCAAGGCGTTCTGGATTAATTCTAGAAATCCGAAAACGAACTGCAGGAAAGAATGCCTCATTATCACTCGTGATATTGCGCATAATCCTGTTATTCTATTGGGAAGGGCACATTACGCTTCCATGAATTCTGTTCGGTTGGTCTTCACGCGATATACTCAGTGGAAGACTCATAGAAAGTGGTCAGTGTGCAGAGCTGTGTTCAACGTGATTGAAATTTTGGTTCAGCATTTTCTCTGTTTGATTATGGAGGTGTTTGGCCAAATAAATTGCTGTCAACTTGGCCTTTGCAGGCTCTAAGGGAGGCGATTGATGGTTTTTCTGGGAAAAGCTTCTTCCAATTCACAATAGTATGGCAGAACTATTTTGCACATACATGGAGAATGAGCATCTTCATTCAACTACATTCACAAAGAGAACGAAATCATCACGTGGCAGCAGAATCCACGCGATAATCCAAAGACCATTGAGGCTAATGCATATGAGGCAACGATCCGAATGAAAGCAGTACTGTAACCCGCACACCATGTGAACTCCGGCCATGTGAAATAACTCTTTCACGGATGTGTGTCATAACAATGCAATTGGAGCGTGCATTGAAATGGAGATATACGGTCCGTGAGCACGAACAAGAGGTACGATGCGCCGTTTTCTTGAGATTATCGTTCTATTGTTCGGTTTCCTCACATTTTGGCAGTGCTTCTCTAAATTCTACGTATCTGCTGCATCTTTTGTGTGTGTTTTCATGTGGAATGAAAGAAGAAATCCATCCATTACCTAACCATGATGTTATTACCTTTCTACACGGTTTTGTGTGATAGTTAAAGAGCATTTCTGTGTCTGCTGGTTCATGTGCCTTAAATCCACCAATTCTATTCCACTGCCGGAAACACCTTATTACAAGTATAGATAGGAACACCTATCCATCGACCAGCCCGAGTATAAAGTCTCTATTGGACAAGCCATCGATAGGCCACAAGAGGTTATGAAGATGATCAAAAAGATCAAAAAAAGGTGATCAAAAAAAAGGTGATCAAAAAGTAATGTATCTACGCAAAAATACTGGAAGAGAAGCCGTTTTTATAAAACATTCAACACTTTCACGATCGCGGCCATTTTAGCGTGCCTGGCTCATCGCACGTTCTCTCATTGGAGCGCATTTGAGATGCTCATTGAAACGGGGATGTGAATTCCGAAACGTGCAGCGGCGTACATATTGAAACCAATGCGCATGGTCGTGGAAGAGATAAGGAAAAAAAGCCAAAAAACACATCGCTGATAAAACAACGTACCCAGGAATTCATTAATTTTGATTCTGTATTCTTTTTCCAGTTTACTAAGGAGAGTTTTGTAATCGGGATCAGAATCCATGACTTCTGTAAATTAATTCATACTTACAAATTCATAAGGGTCATTCATTACGCTTGCCGTTTATTAGTTTGGCTACCAGCTTAAATTCGCATTTGAGAGGTAAGATTTGAGCACTTGCATAGCATCACGTGGCATCATCATGATGACGAGTTAAAAAACTAAAGCAAGTGCTACCATTTGACGACGCTGCAACCTTGATAGGTATAGGAGACCGTGTTTTTGAGTATATGCGCATATTTACTTATATGTCTGTTTTAATCTATTCTATAAAGTTCCTGTTTCTCTGGAATGGAACGAACAAGGACAGAGACCGCCTAAGTTCATTATATGAACTAAAACTTTTGATATAGCTCGAGGTTCCATGAGCGGTGTGCTATTTGCTGGTCTTAGGAATAATTCGAATCGGTAACCTAATAAGAATGGTGTTTCTGATTTATGTTTTCACTTTGTTGTCTTCCATAGCTGATGAGAATGTGGTAAGCAGGACTTCGATGACCGATTTGTTCCAGTAGAAATTGGTTTCTTCGCTAATTAATGCTGTATAAAACACACTGAAGTTATATTTATTTATGTGATCTTATAAACTGATCTTCTTAGGCTGACGCGAGCTTGGTACAGATCTTCACTGAAGTTAATTGCAGTACTACTAGAATTCAGAAAAGCTGCTCTGCCTAAGAAAGACTTTGGATTTGCACAGAGTTAGTCGAAAGAAAGCGATCACAATAGAGGGTTTTTAGTGCACTGGTTAACTGACATATGAAGCGATGAAGGTCATACCTATCTAGGTTCCCATTGCACGTTAGTAACCTGCTTAGGAATTTTCATAAATGTTATTTTAACTGCGATCTGTTTATTTCTTTTTATTTGTTTGGATAACTTTTATTGTTATCACTATCATGAGCATGTTCATGTCCATAGTGTTATCATCTTCACCGGAACTTGTTGGTTGTCAGCACACTGAATACCTCCTGAGGTAGGCTCCACCCGAAGCCTTTGTGTTTCATACCTACAGTACATGCAACCAACCAATTGACATTAAGTCTGCTAGAATCTACACATCCTTCTTAACAAAGCACTAATTTAGTTTTCTACTATAGTGGAATTCTGGGCTTTTGGAGGTTAGTATTCTTTTTTCGCGTTTGCTCGTCGAGGTTCTCATCTGGAACGGCCCTCTGGCTGAATGAACGAGACTACACACACGCCGTTATAATTGACCGCTGCGGTTCTCATGTTTTAATTTTGGAAAAATGTTTTAATATTTTGTCGTAACGTTTTGGAAAAAAGTTACTTCTTATCTTTAGAACAGTAAGGTTGAGTAACGCCTAGAACTTTGTCAACGCTTGAAGCCTTCAATTCTGTAGTACTTCAGTGTTTGGAAGTGATCGGCATCTGTCAAAGATCACAAACTATGCAGCTGGATGACTCTAAGCGGTGCAGGCATATTTTGTAGAAAATGTCTACATCGTTCGCATCCGGAGTACTTGAAAGTTTTTCAATGTTCTAAACTGCTGAAATTCGGTGAACGTAAGAATTTTCTTGCTCTCCCCATTAATGATATTATGTCTGCTCCCTAATACTCCCAATAGCTTTGGAGAAATCCTAGATTTTAAGCTTTCTAGTAGATTCCAGAGGCATTCGTCACCTGTATGTATACTGCTGGATATCGTCTCACCGGTCGACATTGCGAGAACGTCAGCAGCTCGTTCCCCAACTTTGGCACGCGGTAGCGAAGACGCAGCCTTCCCTCCCGAATGAGCAAACTCCACTGAAGTGTTTGTGAAAACGATTGCTACCCCCGAAGTTTCCAACTTTATATAGAGCTGATATTTGACATTTGCTTAACAGTTACAACGACCGTTTCGAGAAAAACAATAGGTCCATCCATAGATGTTATGTTAAATCGATGAAGTGTCGAATGGTTACCACAAAGATTAACCACGCTCTAGTCATTTTTTAGTTGCTGACTATTCTTCTTTCATGGCAGGTTATGATGCGAAATATAACACAATGATGCTAAAATATTTGCAAAACTTCGAACTATAAGTGTCTGCGGTGGGATCACCTTTCCGGGCGCTAACATGTGCACCACCACACCACGCGGGTCCTTCGATTCGCCTTTTTTTCAGCTGTGTATTAACCTATGGGTGCTATCAACAATCACCCGTCAATGGGATTGATTGTGAAGCACAAATCGGCATTGGACCTTGTTAGTTATGGTATAAATCACAATGTAGTCAATTTAGTGCCTATTCTTTTCTGATGGCAGGATTCTTTTCATTAACTATGCTGTTTCTAGTTGTATGTGTGAAAAAATTTGAACTCATTGCCTGCGTGGAAAGCGATGTCAATGTTATTTTCTTCACTGCTAAACTCCAACGCGACACATCTAGTGTTTCCTCTTCTTGTAAAGTAGTGGCGACTCGTTAGTTCAGTGTGAGTGGTTGAGAATAATATTATTATCACTACATGCTGAGTTCTTCCTCTTTTGAAGTTTTCGTTATTTTCCTGTTGAAAGTTCATACTTATTCTTGTGAATGCTCTTTATCGAACATCGCTTTTCGGTAAGATGATGAAAGGAATATCTCATGTCATGCAAGTGGTAGTGGGAATCTGTTGCTCCAGCCAACGTCGCCGATCAACGACCACGGACGGTTCTGAGTTTGCCAAGAAGTCTACAATTAACAGGACCAGATAGTTGAACCATCTCAACGACAACTGATTAGACATGGCCCACTGGGTCCTACAACATGTCAGGCGCACAATAGGAAAATCACTATTCACGTCATCAGACGTCCTTCGGACGAATCTAGAAAAGTCATATTAATGATTTTGAAAATGTTTTTGGGTCCTCTGACCAATCGGAGATTATTTTGCAAATTTGACGACAAAAAATAAGGGCAAGAACAAATGAGAACTTCACTAGCTCTTGCTTAAGTCGTCACAAATTCAATATGACGAGGTGGTTCTGGTGATTCCTGTTGATATAGTCGATGTTGGATGTCGCTGTTGTTCCTTCGGCTAGAACTGTAACTACTTTATTGTCTACGTCTCTTCTACTTTGATCCTTGTTCTTTGCATAGGATGAAGATTTTCAACATCTTTAGTACAATTCCAAAAACCTTCTTTCACTGTTTTTCTTTTCAGTTCTTGGATCTTGATATTTGTTAACCAATACAGTACTAGGTATTGCAGACGACACCCCGACCATTTTATGGAAACAGGGTTTACGCTTCTTTTTCAGAGGAAGTTGTCAACAGTATCCACCTAACAGGTGTACTGTGGTTGTTGTACTGTGGTTGTAACTTCCACTCATTAATGTTTTCGTAAAACAATATAGAAAAACATAGCATTGAACAATGCCGGAAAATAAGTAGTATTCTAAATTTGCATTGTATACCATTCATGTGGTAGTTGAACATTAAAGTGGAGAGAAAGAAATCTTCATTAAAGGTGTAATAAATGTGTCGTAACAGTATATTCGTCCTTTTTAATGCACGGCAATTTTTTCGAGGCACGTGAACTTCCGAACTGGGTCCGAGGCGTTGGTGGTTCTGTTTCGAAGTATAACGGGCGAGGACTGGAACGATATAATGCATGATTGTATGGTGCGTGGAGATTTTTCTTCAGCAGTTTTTGAAAATCCAATACTGATTACATCGTAGTCAACATCAGCGCTGAAGTCGTAGTGTGTTGATGCTAGATTCAGTAGATCTAATGGTCGGAAATGACTTGAATAGTACTCGATGAGATTGTTCCCCTTCCAGAGAAGTCCACCGTTCTGCTATTGGCAAGAAGGAATGAACTACTGGAACACGGATTGCGGCAACTATTATGGAGCGATTATTTATTTTTGCTCTTTCTATCTGATTATAACCTATATTGTGAGAAATTTGCTAGTGGGTGAGTTTAGAATACGTCAAAAAACCATCAGCAATCACTGAGTGCCTTGGAAATGTCACAAGATCGTTTCGTTCATAGAAAAACTTAGATAGCTGCATTTCTTAGCCTCAGTAGAAGAGTCTTTTGGCCACCGCGATTTCAAAATAAGGTGTTAGTCTTCTAGCTATCATTATGGAAAACTTCTCGCTGTTCTATTCGAGTGAAGAAGACGCACTACTAAGTTATGCTGACATACGAAACTTTCAGGTACTTTACTTTTATACTTTCAGGTAACTTTTTGTACTCTACATGTGAATATTCCGTAAGATTGGTAGTCTCACAAATTTAATTTCCATCGTTTTAAAAATATTACTTCGCTGTAATTTTATTCATTTGTTTCTTTACTTGCTTGTTTATTTACACGTCTCGTCTTCGTGTATGCAATATGGATACGAGCTATTCTCTCACCTGGTTCATTGTCTAGCGTCCGTCCTTCCAGAAGGCCTTCGAATTTACATGAAGGCTCGGCTGCCAGTTGAGGATTTCGTCTTCTTTGTGGATGTTGTTGAATGGTGATCGAGATGATTACACACGCCACCTCGGGATGGCTCTATCATAGCGTTTCTAGGGGCTTATTGTAGTTCTTTGTTGAACAGAGGGTCTTTTCCAGAAAAGTCTGGTACACAGTCTCTCACCCTTGAAGGATGAGAGACTTGTTTAACCCAGGCCAGATCGAACCAGCAATCGTGAGTGCACAATATCTTTAGCCATTGCTTTCCCTGCTCACCTTTTTCCTTAATTATAAGGATCGCAGCAAAATATCTGCTGAAGATTGGCTGCCAATTATCTGCAAGTTGTGTTATAAGAAGAGTAGTAAATTACTATTATTCTAAAGCCTCCCAGCGGTTACCACCCCGTCGTGGCTGGGAGGTGTTTTTGGCTGTCGGGTTACGATGTGCAGTGGGAGAGATTTATCTCCCTGGCGAAGTCTCCCAGGCTGGGAAGTGGTCCGGCGCTTTTATCAGGAAGCCCAGCTAAGAGTGAACCAATACTAGAATCCACCACCGTCCTGGTATAAAGCTAGTCGCATGGTGGCAAATCGCTTTCTAATCCAAAAGCGCGACGACTGCGTGTGATAATGACGACCCGGGTCAGCCTTTGTTTAGGCTGATCTCGGGACTCCAGGAAATTACAATGGCTAATTCAGCAAAACCCTGAAAAGAGAGAAATTATGCTGGGGTCCGCGAAGCTAGTGAAGGCGGGCTATCCAAGTATCTGAATAAGTAATATTCTTAAGACGGGGTGAGTAGAATGTGGTCTATCCATGAATGACTTTAGTGGGAGTATTAGAAAAAAAGTAAGGGGTATAAGTCCCAAAAACAAATGAATTTTCCAAATTTTCTACAAATGTAGAAGACATGATGAATTGGCATGCCCTGCTTCAACTTTTTTGTGAGCTCTTCTTCATTTCTATTTCACTAACAGTTTTAGAGAAAACCGATTGTTGGTAACGATTTTAGCTCGTGTGGAACATGGTGGACAGGGAGCAGAAGCGATCGATTCCAGTCGGGAGAGTGAAGTTCTTGTTGAGACTCCTGAAGGTAAATGTTTTCCAGTCTTGTGAAGGAAAGAAAAAAGAGCTATCACTAGTTCTAAACAATAACAAAGGCGAAGAGAGCGTTCATAAACACCTGCTGTCGGTGTTTTCTGTCTAATTGTCTTCCTCACCTGAAGTGGTTAATCCTTCTACGGTATTTTAATATTAAAACTTTGCAATATCTTTTTGATGCTAAGAATTGTTATGTTTGTCTACGGCGGTCTTATATTGCAATTGTCTGAATGTTTTTAGTTGAGAATATTCTTCCTCTCCACCTGTTCATTCACAAATTCAATTCTCGTTTGAATTTTACCGTTTTTATCCCGTCAGCAGACGTGTGGCGCAGTGGTCGGACTCACCTTACAACACACACGTGGCCCCCATGGCCCCAAGCCTTCCATCTCTCCGGGTCGGCAAATTGGTACCAGACTTGTCTGGGAAGATAGCAGCGCTGGCTTGATAAACCAGTAGGCCACCGCGAGTCATTGTAAAAGCCAGATATGCATACAATCACCTTCAAACGATGCTTAATGAAGTCGAATGCATGGCGCATCCTTCAGGGATTGATCAACACCGAGAACTTTATCCTTTTAATCCTTTTTTATCTCGTCAGTTACTAAATAGTTACAGTTATTCTTAAACGGCTGTTTATTCACCAGTTATTTCAGGGACGTCTAGAGGTGGATCCCGAGAAGGATAGAATCCTCTTTAAGCACATGTGCTATGAGATGGACAAATTGCACAATGGTGACGACGTCTCATTCCACGACGTGCTCTAGTGGGTTGCCTCCTGACCATTGTCAGAGTTTCGTTCAATACTTTTAGTAGCTTAACTTGCGCTGGTGTTTTCGGGTTATCTATGAATTTATGAACGGGTGTTTGGTGCGTTACGGGTAAGTAGTGAGCACCATACATAAAGCGGAGGTCGCTTAATCTAAAGACTTTGAAAATTGTACTAATGGTGCTAGTGGTAGTTGGAAGGAATCCCACGAAGCATTTTTGGTCTTTGTTTTCACTTTACTTCAATTCTCTAACTTTATTTTTACACAGCTTCTTTCGATATCTTCACTAAGTACCGTACCTAATCATATTTTAGCATGCTCTCCTATCGTTCTGTTGACATTCGGAAATCGTTACAGCTGGAGGAGCTGCTGCAGGTAAATAAATAATGATTTTCTTGCTTCTCCTAGAAGTTAAACTTCAAAAAAAGACTAAAACAAAGTGTTTCTACCACTTGCATAATATAATCCCAAATATGTTTTAACATAAAAGCCGATTTCGACGAAATAGAAGATTTATGGGTGGCGTGTGGCGCAATGGTCGGAGGCGCTGCTGCGACACACACGTGGCATCGATCCCAGCACCCATGGCCCACCAAGCCTTCCTTCCCTCCGGAGTCGGCAAATTGGTACCAGATTTGTCTGGGAGAATAGCAGCACTGGCTTAATACATTGGTAGGTCACTCCGAGTCATTATAAAGGCCAGATTTACATTCACTCACCTCCAACGGAGGCGAATGCATGGCGCATTCTTCAGGGATTGATTAACGCTGAGAGCTTTATCCTATTATGAGTGATCTACCGATAGAAGTATTGAACAATATTAATCTGAAAAGCATTCATTCTTCTATTTTTGTTAATTTAAAAGTATTCCAGCGTCCACGACCAAGATTCCATTCGTTATATTTGTAGGTCTATTATCCTAATCAATGCACTATTTTTCAAAACGTTTCATTTCAAGTTGCTTTACATTTTGCTTGAAATCCGTCGAATATACAGATTTCTAGCAAATGCTCAAAATGAATAATTTTTGTGATGTTTTCAGCGTGAGGAATTAGAATTCATCATTGAAGAAGAAGTTGCAAAGCAGACCATTCGAACGTGGCTGGAGAGTTGTCTGCGCCGTATCCGTAATCCCCAGAAGAAGGAGTTATTCGCCGATGACACGAAATATCCTCGCCCCGGCTCTGCAGGTGTGAATGAATTCATTCTTCGAAGATGTACGTATGTCGACCAAAAAGTCAAACCTCTGCTCTGAATTCCGCCGAGAACTTGTAGCAAATTGAAGGAAGCATCCATAGATTTGATTGTGCTTCACCCACGAGTTCAACATTATTAGCATGTTTGCACTTTAGTTAACACAACAGCGAAGTGTTTCGCAAGATACGTCTTTCAACAAATAATAATAGTCGATGTGAGGTTCAGATCACATCCATAGTACAGAGGCATGCGGAAGTACTCGTCCGTGGTGTAGTAAAGCAGTACCTGCAGTCGTTCTATACAGTTAGCACCAAGTGTTACATGGAACCGTCGCTTGCTCTGAGACTTCGAAATCACGTTGCGATATTCTGAATAATTATCAATGATGTAGCATGATAACAGTTGTTTCTAATTCAAAAGCTATCTCGTGATGATTCACATAATGAAAGTGCGGGTAGCGAAGTGGTTAGTGAGGTGTTCTGCAATACGTACTAAATTGGTCCTTGGCTCGATCGCACGCCTCGCTCATCCCTTCCACACCCCATGTTCGGCAAATTTGTACCAGACTTATCTGAGACGATGGCAGCACTGACTTGATACATCGGTAGATCAATGCAAATCATAGGCATAGTCGTAGGCCATTCAAACACCTCTAGCGATACTCCATGAATGGAATCGAACATCTGGTGCATTGCTCAGGAATTTATCAACACCTGAAGTAAACCTTTATCCCAGTATTGGATTTCAGCTTTACGAATAAGCCTATGTTTTTCGTGTCGTAAACTTATTCTTACTGTCTTAAAGCACTTACTGTAACATGTTCAGAGTACTAGAGAACACCAGTTGCTAACAAAATTCGGACGAAAACAAAGAAATAGATTTCTGGAGTAGACGAAGGCTTTCACTTTATTGCATATAATTTCGTGCAGGATTGCCGTCGGACGGACTCGAGTTGCCTCGATTTCGATTCGGTCACGATGAATTTTCATCCACAGAAGAATTGGATTCGTCCTCCCCACTTCATAAAAAGATCATCAAAAACAGGAGAAGTAGCATTCCGGATGTTTTCTCTGTGGGTTGCTTATATATTTATAGTAACGCCATGAACAAAAACAAAAATAGACATTTCCCCAAATTACGATGTTCGAGGTCTGCGACTTTCTTATTGGTTTAGTTTTGGGTCAGCGATTTCAAACATTTACCCATGTAGAAAAAAAATGTGCTCGGCCTTGCAAAAAAACTCATTTCCATTGTTTAAAGTCTGTCTAGAAATGGGATTCAATGAATGTTCATGAGGAATTGATATACTCTGGGATTAAATCCGCTGTCAAATTGACGAGAATCCAACCAGAAGAGCATGAGATCATTCATTTCAGTTTCAAACTTCGACCATCCTTCACGAAGCGGCTCGCAAGTTCATGCAAAGCAACAGCGAGAGGAAATTGGCACACTCTCGAGTACCACGTCAGCCTGAAGTGGCGCAGTTATTGCCGAAGAAGACCGAGACAAAAAAGCCGGGGACGACGAAAGCGTTGCACGTACGACAAGACCAGCATTACGAACTAGAACACCAGAATTGTAGGTTGTCTGACTTCGTGTAATTTTTCAGTTGAACGTGTACGATCTACCGGACTTGGAAGAAAAAGGCGAAGACGAAACGACGTTTTCTCCACCCAAAGTCAAAATCGACTGGGACGAAAACTCTGTGCCACATTTGCCGTCGCATCAAACTACGGTTCTTCTCATTCTTCTCATGTGCTTTAAACTACTTTAGTAATTCACTCATGTTCTCATTTTTAGGGCAACACTAACAATGTTTCGGCACTGAATACAACGAATTCTCGCGCAGCACTGGCTGAATCCACCCAGGAAATTTCTCTTTGGTGGCAGCTTGTCAATCGATAGCAGAGGCTTTTCTTCCTCTCCATGGTTAGTTGTTCCCTCTTATAGCTCTTAGATAGAAATTCTTGGGAATTGCTATTTAAATTGATCTCCTTACATTTCACTGTGCTGCTCAACATTAACATATTTTGAGATGATCGGATTGATATTTCTTCTTGGAGTTTTATTTCTGTCCATGTTAAATAGCTTTTATGTGAAATACGTGTTTTTTGCTTTTATAGGCGCTGTTATCAATTTACGATATTACGAAAAATTATTGCTAAACTTTTATTGTCGAGGAAGTGGACGAGTTTTCCGTTGTTCTACGACGATATAGGTTTCAGTCGTTTGATGCAGCAATCACAAGAACTATAGGAAGAAACATTCCTTAAGACATATTGGCAATCATACGCATTGATTTCGATGAACGCGGAAAGAGATTTTGGTCTCAGTGCATTTTCTTTTCGACAATTTTTTTGCAGTAAAGAGTTTTTACTTCATAATGTTTGTTTTTAATTAATGGATTTCCCACAACAGGCAAGAATAGTTGTTCTCCAAAGACTATAGTTTACTAAAAAGAACGCTTTTTGGACGAATTTCTTCGTTCCACCACACAGTGCTAAAGTGCTATAAGTAAAGTGCTGTAGTGCCACAATTATCGAGCGTACCACAACCACATGCGGGCAAGAAGCATTAGGTACGACATCATCGGAGTTGCTGAGACGAAAAGACACCCAGCTCTAAACGCTGTCTGTGATACCGGAGAAGAACTATTTCTCGGAACACGTGATGGTTAAAGAGTCGTTGGCGTCGACTTTCTCGTTAATACGGGGTTCGACGTGAACACCGATTCACTCAGAACAATCTCAAAATTAGATAATTAAATCTTTCTATACAATGAACTAAAAGATAAGGCTTTCGCCGTTGATCAGTTTTTGACGGATATGCTATGTGTTCGACTTCGTTGAGCATCGTTAAAGATGATTGAATGCACACCTGGCCTATAGAACGACTCGTGGTGGCCTACGCATGCGAGTCAGTGCTGTTATCATCTCAGATAGGTCTGGTACCAATTTGCGACCCTGGAGGGATGAAAGGGTTGGTAGACCTGGGTCGGCTATAACCACAGCGTTACATCCAAGCATTCTTTCGATACAGTAATCATATTAAAACAAAAGCAACTGTATGATAATATTCTTAATAAACTCCATTGTCAAGGTGATGAGAGATCGCTAAAGTTGTCGTTGTTGTTGTTTGTTGGAGTTGTTGCAGTATTATGCGTTCATAAGAATATATATAACACTCTCATAAAGGGCGTGTGTAGCACAGTGGTCGCAGGTTTCCTGCAATACACATGAGATCGATCCCAGCTTACCAAGGCCTTCCATCGCTCTGGTGTCTGCAATTTGGTACCAGATTTATCTGGGATGGTAGCGGATACGTCCGTAGGTCACTGTGAGTCATTGTAAAGATTAGATATACATTCAAACACCTCTAACGATATTTAATGAAGCCGAATGCATGGCGCACCTCTCAGGGATTGATCAACGCCAAGAGCTTTATCCTTTCTTAACTATATAGATGCCCCGATTATTCATGCAGAGCTTAATAGAAAGTCGGCCGTTTGAGTTATACGACAATGTTTAAAAATACAGACATTACGGTAATAGGGTCGAAAAATGTGACACAGAATACATCAGTGGCAGATCAGTAGTCGAGGTGACGGGCACCACACCAAAACGCATTTATACGCTTTTGAAAGTCTTTGTTGTAATAACAATGAAATGAGAAGTAGGAGGTTCTCAAGAAGAGTTGTTAGAACACTCCTAAGCAGAGTGATTTGATATGGCGTAATTCAAAGCGTAATGATGTGGGCACGAAAGCTTACATGAGGATTGAACCTTGATGTGTCGATGAAGCAGAAGTGTGAGACTTAAAGGATAAAGGATAAAGCTCTTGACGTTGATCAGTCCCTGATGGATGCGCCATGCATTCGACTTCATCAAGTATGGTTTGGAAGTGATTGGATGTATGTCTGACTTTTACAATGAGTCGCGGTGGCGTACCAATGTATCGATCCAGTGATGCTATCCTCCTAGAAAACTCTGACATCACTTTGCCGAACCCGGAAGGATGGAAGGCTTGGTGGGCATGGGCGCGGACATCGATTCCACGTGTGCGTTGCAAGGGACCTCGGTATTCGGTAGTGTAGTAGACTTAGTCAACATTCTTCGTATTCTTGTTGAGCAAACGCGAGGTGTTACTTTTATTCTTTATTCACCAAGAAGCTGACGTTTCGGCGGATTTCCCCTTTCGCAGAGCCTGGAAAAGTCAAGTTGACAGCAATCTATTCAGCCAAACACCTCCAAAACCATGCAGAGAAAACGCTGAACCAAGATTTCAATCACATTTAGCACAGCTCTGCACACTCACCGTTTTCTATGAGGCCTCCACTGAGTATCACCTTTGTTGAGCGTTTGCTCAATAAGAATACGAAGAATTACTTGATCAATGCCGAGGTTAATAAAAAGTCGGTTGTGGGAGTTGGTCAACATTCTTTTCCTCTATGATGTTCAACATGATATACCATCGGTGAAGACTCGAACAACACAAAAAAATCAAAGAGTTCCACTAGTAACACAACGGCTTTGAGAAAAGCGAGACCGCCGAAACGCCAACCCTAGAACAGCAACAACAACCACTTCAACCCGAACAACCACAACCAGAACAACAACCACAACGGCAACAACACGCACACCGTTTAAGCTTTTTATGAATATCCCAGAGAAAATTATGATACTCAAAGACTCCTCGGAGCAAGAAGAACCCATTGCTCTACGCTTGCACACTACAGGAAGAAAGGAAAAGTTTACTGGCACCCGTTCAAGTCATTCAACGATAAACGTGATGATAGAATGTCGCAGGTGATCCCACATCCACAAACACAAATGCATGACGCCTTCGGGGATCGCTTACCTTTTGTACAACTGATCATTACGGAGACGGATGCTTATGCGGTGAGTCGTCTCCTTTTGTACGGGAAAGGCGTTGCAATGTATGGCGTAAATTGTTTTCCTTGTACACCTTCAGCAAAGAAAAATTCGGGATGTTCACAGTTCCATTGTGTCAGTGAGTGCAAATGGAGCTAGGATGACACCGAAAAATTTTGACCTAGCTAGTTAGTCGATGGTGGACCACATCTTCTCCTTCTTCTAATCGTTTAAATGTGCCATGTTCAAGTCGCAGACGAATTTTCGTGTTCTGGCCTCTTTGAAATCAGCAGTGCCTATGTACATCTTATTATTCCGTGGTTGGTGCCGCTACCTACATGTGAGAGTCGAAAAGAATCAGATGATAAACAATAATTAGACGGCGTTAGATCTAGTTGAGAACTGCCACGCGGATCAGTAGCGCGATTTTCAACTTCAACAAAACCCATAAAGGGCTCTCTTGGAAAATTCTGTGCGGGCTTAAACATTTTTCATACAACCACAACGTTGCTGAGATATTTGCAAAACTCTGGACTGCAGGTGTCTATGGTGGGGAACGAACGCGCTATTGTCCTACTGGCAAAGATCGATAGAAATAGCTGAGAGACAGGCAAAACAAAGGACCTGCATGGTGTGGTGGTGAACGCGTTACTCCACGGAAAGGACAATAGCGCGTTCGTTCCCCACCATAGACACCTGCGGTCCAGAGTTTTGCAAATATCTCATCAACGTTGTGGTTGTATTTCGCTTAGTACCCTGCCGCGAAATTATAGTAGGCAGAAAATAAAAAGGTTTAACATTTTTCGTACACTTATCACTTTGGCTAAAGCAACAGTTGGAGCTTTTGGAAACACTTGGCATGAGAAATGCTTTAAAAACGGTCTTTACGTTTTTTTCTACAATTCGGCTTTTGAAGTGTTTTCCTCCTTTCCACATAATATGGTGCAAAAATTATTAAATTGTTCACTAATTATCTATACTTTGATAGCATACAAAACAAGAAAGATAATTCATATCGGTGGCATCCTATGTGGTTTATTCACACCAGCTTTTTTTCTTGAGAAGCACCTTTCTCGTTGAATGTCGTGAAGGTTCTTCCGCCTAAACTATTCGACATATTCCTCAAGAATCTAGATCAGGTCCTCAAATTGCAATTATTCGTCTTTGGCTCATGCTTCAAATTTGTCAACACAGGTGTTTATGTCTCCTCTACCAGTTGCCAGTTTCTTTTATAGACCTTGATAGTGCTTCAAAAAAACCTCGATGGTGATGAAATTCGGTAAAGCAACTATCAAACCACGATCATCCTCTTTTCAGCATATCAGGAGTGACCGAACAAAATGATCAGCGCCTAGTGTAACAGTGAAAGTAAATCCTCCAGTTATGAGCTAACAAGTAAGACGACGACTGTAGAGCATACATGGCTTTCGACCAGATTGCCTGCTCTCAACGGGTGCACAGATAGACGGGTTTATTCGACGCTGAGGAAACAAATAGCCGCTATTTACCATTTTCTTGTTTGTTTTTCGGTTATTTATCACCTTTTTCTTATCTTCGTCGTCCCAATCGCTTGCAATATCATCCATAGTCGGATAGGAATGTAAAAGATGAGCCATGATCTACATGTGTCTCCATCTACACTACAAATCTATACCCACGGTCTTCGCTCGCTTTGCTCCTTTCGCAATCAGTTTTTGACTCTCGTTCAACTCCATTTCTTTTGGCTTATATTTCTAAAATACTAACCAATGGAAATAATAAAGATACTAATGAAAACTAGTCAGATAGATCTTCACAGTAATTCCTTGTTGTCTTCCCAATCGGAAGGAATGTCGTCAAAGGTTGGATAGGCCTGCAAAAATCATGTTATCTTTACAAGGCTACCCTTTATAGAATCTATACCATAAAGGTATTTCTCATCGTAAAAAAGTCTTTTATCAAGTAGGTGGCCTCGTAGGGTAATATTTTCAGGCTGAGGAAGAGGCGAAGCACTGAGAAACTGTGAATTTGTGTTCTTGTCACTTCTCAAGTATT